TGCTGGTCCTAATTCCACTTCTGCCATAAGGACTGAGGTTAGGAATAACTGCTTCCAGTCAGCAACCCGGCCATCTTCGGAGGGAAAGCAATGAGGCGCCTCCTCTTCCTCTGCTGTACAGCGTACCAGGGGAGGCTGCGTCTCTTCTCTCAAGGCCTCTGCACTTCGTTTCATCACCTGAAACACCAGTTCCTCCCTCATATTTACCTAGTGTCACGCTTTGCCTTTTGCTTTATCTCTACGGCTAACTTATTTGCACTTCTTCTCACACAAATCAACAGAGAAACTTAATAGTAACAATCCTTAATTATATTATATAATAAAAACCCAGAAGACAGGAAAGAGGAGAATGAAGATTCACCTTGAATCACCTACTCTATGAACATTTTCACACCTTGACACATGTAGCGTTCTAGTCTTCATGCTTTCACACTATTCTCCTCTGGGAGGATAATATGGCAAATGCTGCATTTTATACAGATTATTTTCCATGTTCCATCTCCTCTTATTAACTCTAAGTTCAGTAATGGAAAGAAATATGTCTTATTAAATTTTGTTTGTATGTTGCCAATATGTGGTACATTGACCCACACATAGTCAGCTCTTTTCACGTAGGAGGGCACCAGCCACTGACAGGCCAGAAGATCATGCAGAGAAGATAAGAGGTCATGGCATGTCCTACGTATTTCCTTCTCCTTCTCCCTCTCCCTCCTCCCCCTCATCCTGTCCCTCCCCCTTCTTTTTTTTTCTACTTCTTATTCATTTATATTATTGTCTTTGTTATTTATTTGTTTATTTATTTCGGTCAGCTATTCCAAGAGAAGATTCATATCTGATGTCAGTGGAGATGACCATGGCGATGGCTTCTTCCTTTTCCCGTCCTCTTTTGTCTTCTTCTCTTCTTTATATCATTACTATTAGATTTTTTATTATTGTTGTTATTATCCTCTATCAAGAAATCCAAATACAAGTTTAGGTCTGAGTACTTTAAATATAAATAGCATCAAAGTCCTCAGGGTAGTAGCATGTTAGAAAGTATTTATTTTTATGAAATCCATGGTCCCCCACTCTAAACAAATCAGAACAATGCTTATCAGAGTTCCCTGCTCTTTAACCATGATTACTTCACTTGGCCTTGAGCTAATTTCCTTTTGGTTCATCCAAACCTGTTTGTCTCCAGAGTTGGTGTCTCACTTTCGAATTTACAGATTGTGATTTTATTGACATTTATGGGGATTGCTAAGGACAGTTACAAACTCCCTACAGAGTTTAAGAATTTTAGGATAAACTGTTTCTGTATAAGTAAATGCAGACTACTTAATGGCTATTTGCAAATTGGAGGTAGTATCTTTTCTGTAAGAAGGCCACTGTGATCAGACCTCTGCAAAGAGAGATGCCGTCACCACTGGGAGCTACTAGCTTCAGGGTTTGGGCCTAGCATCAGGTTGACCTGAAGGGGTTGGTAATGTCTCTCAACTACACATGGCACATAATTGTGCTCAGGGAGATGTGAACTCCAAACAGGCAAAACAGTCCAATAAAGATGTGAACACACATAAGCTCTAGGCAGAATGTGAAAACAGGCAAATACTCGGTAAACCCTAGGTCCAGCCAGGGTAGCATATGCTGGTTGACACTGCAAATTGGCAGGCTGAGGCCACATGGGAGGCCTGAGTGTGATTTCTGGCTCACCCTACAAAGGGGGAGTGGTGGTGTGCACCTGTAGTTCCAGCAATTCCAGAGGCTGAGTGGAGGACTGTAACAAAGGGGGACCTTGTCAAACAAACAAATCAACAAAAAGCTATAAACGGCAAGACACAAATGGACTTTCACAGAGCAGGTGCACATTGGAGGCCCAGCCATTACTGAACGGGGGTGTATTTCTGGATGCCATTATCTGACAATAATAGGGGGAGGGCCTATGTCCATTGACTGGTGACTGTGGGATCAAGTTCACAGTAGGACAAACAGTAACATGCTCCTATTAATGATAAGGTGGCTACTGTCACAGTGTTTCCTTCA